CCAGTCTGAGAAGGCTTCCCATGGGTTTTTAATTCCACTATTTAACAGGTTTTCATCAATACAGAAGTACTGCCCGTCCTACAAGCACCCACTCGCAGGACCTGTGCTTTGATGGGACTGTAACAGCTATGTGGAAAAAGCAGGGTTTGCAGTAAGTTCTAAATCCCTCCTCTAAGACCCACTTAGTTGTCAACCACAAATACATTAAAAATATTTTTTTAGATTTTATATCTATGTATATGTGGTATTCTTAGTGCCAAGCCCTGAAACCCAGAAGGCGTTTCTCCAGATGCAGACACTGATCATCCTCTAGCTGTGTGTGTGCCAAAAAGGCTCTGAGTGCTTTAGGCTGGGGTATCCCTGCAGCTCTGAAAAGTTCCCTGGAAGAGGAACCTGTGACAGCCTCCAAGAGTTCTGAGAGTTTGGCCCTTGGCTTTGGAGAGCCGCACAAAGCTGGCAGCTGCCCTAGGACATGAAGTAATAGAACATCTTCAGTCCCAGGTTGGCAGAGACATAAATACCTTCAGACTTTATGCATCTAAATGGTTTTGAGGATGATTCATGTCATGAAACTGCCCCTCAGCCCCACTTGTATGTGCTTTTGTTGATTTGCATCCATACATTCAGCATGAACTCCCATGACGTCAACGGAGCTGATGTGATTTGCACCAGCAGACTATCCTGAAGTTCATTGGCGAGCTGCCTGAACGCCTTTGCAGTTATACAGAAACGTGTTTAAAGGACTGACAGAGGAGGAAGAGCTTTTTTGTGCAATGCACCAATGCCATACATGCAGTCGAAATACACGCATTTGACATCCCCCTCTCAGTAGAAGTGTTCCCCAAGCCACAGCAAAAAAATTCCTGTGATGTGCATGGATCCCTTTGAACTGCACTCCCACAAGACGTGTAAAGAGGTACTGCCCAAGTCCTGTTTTGTTCATTTGCTTTTCATTTGCTAGAACAAATTCAGACTGGGAAAACAGATGCTCTGTTGGGACCAGACTGAGTTTGTGTTACTTGCTTCTCAGCCTAGGACTTGTTGGAGTCCCTCTGATTTTGGTTCGATAAAGAGGATTGCCTCCAGACCACACGCATCCCTGCACTAATGTGCATGGTGCTACTGTCCCTCTTTCGGCTACTTATTGGTGAGAACACCTAGTAAGACCTCCTCACCCAGGGAATACATTGGAAAATATAGAGGGAAGTTTTCCTATTTAGTCTTTGATCCTAAACACTACAAAAGGAGATGATCAGGGCAGAGAAGCAGATCTTTGGTAACCGGTGCCATCTGACACCTGAATCTGAATTTTGTTCGTCAGGTCTGTGAGGAAAATAGCAGGGCTCTGGGCACCCACTCTGTGTCAGAAAGGGTAGAGCTGCCCTACAGTTGTTAACCAAGAGAACTCTCTGGCACATGCTCCATCCAATCCCAAGAGACCCACATTTATTTTGGAAAATAAGTCTGATACTCCAGGAATTTGGCTTTCTTGGTTGTACCACACAACACTGATGAGTGAAGGAGGTGACACCTCTTTAGAAGGAAGGACCACTATTTTCTGCACCTCAAGTGGTTTGAACAGAGCATCTGGCAAATGAGATATTCTGCAACTATTTCAGTTAACTCTGTGTCTTTTAGTAAATGGTGATGTGTGGTCATGGCCCTAACTAGAATTTCTCTGTGCAACCTCTGTGTTAAATTAATTTCCAGGGTCACATTGAGCTTTTAGCTTGGATGATGAATGGGTGATCCACCTCCACACTGTGCTCATCTCATTAGCCTGCACTCACTGCTCCCTGTGCAAGGCACAGCAGCATTTCTGCAAGGTTCAGATTTCTCCCATACCCCCTCCACATACAGCAAGTTCGAATGCCTCTCCTTGCGCAAATGCCCCAGAAACAATGAAGACCCTGTCTCATGCTCCTCATCCTTCACATGCCAGCCAGAGAGAGGTTCCTCTTGGGCGCTGCAGGCATCTTCCCCTGGTGACAATGGTTGATCCTTGCTTGACCTTTCTGATATATAGGCAAAGGTATATCAAGACAAAGATGGGTGTCAAGGAAGTCCGCTCAGTTAATAACTGCCTTGAAACACCTCTGTAAACACCCCTGGAGAGACAGCATGTGCTGTTCTGTGACGTGATGCAACACTGATTTGTTCATCTACCAAACGTCCTCATAATTGTGTGAAATTGAGTGTGAACAAGCAGTTGAATTGCAGTTCATCAAACGCAATTAATCCAGAACCGAGCAGCCGAAATACGCCTTTTATCTTGCCTAAGGGTTGATGATATAAATACAGAGCACCCCAGAATCAAAAAAGTGACTAAGCAGATGCTTGCTAGTCTGCGAATTCTTTTATAATGCAAAAATGGCTTTTATCGCTCACTGTCTATATTTGAGTGCTCATCACTGTGCTGCCTGGGTGCTTTGATAAATGGCAATAAATATATTTAGCATATGATTAGTTCATTAAAAAATCCATCTACTTCACGTAATTTGGAGACAAAAGAGAAATTGTGGAAAAATACAACATTTATAAATATCTGCTGTGCAAATCTGGACTGTAACTAGCTCTTTGACCAGAATCCAAAAAAAGGAAAGGAAAAAGAAAGGGCAGAGTAATAAAAAAAAAAAAAAGATGATAGAGCTCAGGTTGCATGGTCTGCCCTGTGAAGAGTGTGACATTTTCCTAACGGTGCTACATAGATTCTCCTTTGTCCCCACAGAATATAATGCAGCACGGACTCAAAAAAGTGGGTGAATTTGTTCCAGAAATGGCCTTGTGGGGCGGAGGGAAAAGAGCAAGATACTCTCCTCTCTTTGTCCAAAAGAGGCTGATTTTGTCTGTAGGTTACAGACACATCCCCAGCACCGCCTTCATGTTAGCCAGCACGACGGGCAGACATTGCGCGGAGTATGAGATATTTGCCTTGAAAATCTAGTGGTTGCGGGGGTTACAGTGCTTCTGTCCCCAGGTGCCCAGGCATCACCTGGCCACAGCAGCCAGCAAGTGCAGCCTCAATGCCTCCCTCCCGCTGCAGAGCAGACAACAGCTAACAGTCTGGTCCAGACCACAGACCGGATTTAGAGATGGATGACATAAACATGGTAAAACTGTTTACTTTATATAAGCAGAGAGCTTCATTTTTTTCCTTTACACTAAGAAAGGCACACTGAGTATAGGAAAGCTAAGCTTTTAAGATACATTCAAGGATCTGGACTCTAAGCAGCAGATGTTGAAGGCTGCATATGAAACACACATCATAACCCCGTGTCCCAACCCAGACTATTTAACCACAACAGATCCTTTGCAGATCCCAACAACCTCTTGATTCTCTGGCCCTTGCATTTTCTGTACATGGTCAATTTTAACTGAAGAGTGTACTTTTAAAATCATGGAAATGTCTTGAAAGTATTTATCTGAAATTTGAAATACCTGTATTTCTCCTAGACCTGGCTTTCACTTGCCATGCAAATGCATCTGTCAGTTTAAATTGCCACACCATGGCTTTATCGTACATGATTTCAACATGCTGGAGCTGAGACAGTGCCTGTTCTTTCCCATTTGCTGTTTGAGAGCATTTGTGCTCTGAGACAAGAAAGAGGTCAGAAAACAAGCACTGGCCTCAAAGACTTCTCAGATTAGCCTGGCAAACACACCTCAGTTTCTGTAGCCTTCAAGGAAGTAGACGTCGCTATCATTAACTTCACATTAGGCCAACTCAAATGACCAGGACCCCATTTACAGTCAGGTCAACAGGAAAGCAGCTTTCAACAGGAGGCCAAGCCTGAATGCGTGTCCCTGCCTTGAGGGTTATTAAATGTGTGTTTGAAATGCCCGACTAAAAGCTCAAGTAACATTTTCTTTTCAGGGCTGCACCCCTGGTTTTGAACTTATGTCATCAAAAGCAGCATCCAGCCCCAAGATGGTCTGCAAGGGAGGGAATAATGCTGCAATAACAGAGTCCAGCTCGCTGCCCTGGCAATGAATGCTTATCTCATGCTGCTCTCCCACTGAGTAATGTTTAAAGTAAATAAATACTGCAGGGGAGTTGCTGTTAGTCCAATTGTTGGGTTGTATTCTTGTGGCAAGCTTTTTATCATAATAGTGCAGCAGGAGTACAGTGTGTTTGCAAGGCAAATTTGAGCCAGGGCACAAAAGTACATAAAGTCTGTTAATAAATAATGGACTCCGGGCATGTGGGCTTTGTAGCGTGGCTTAAAAAATCGACGCCTTCAAAGTACAATAATCTGCAAGTGCTATTGAAACAAAACAAAACAAAACAAAATGAAGGGAGTTAATTGTTAGTCCCTGGGCATGGCAGACATTCTCCTCTGGAGAGACCGGGAAGCAAGCAAGGGCGATGGCAGCTGCAGGAGTACCTCCGTTGTACAGCGATGTGCCTTTGTGTTCTTCCAGTTGTGCTGTTCAGCACAGGTAGTGGCAACGATACTACAGTTTGCTCATGAACTATGATGCCTTGAATGTCTTTCCTATATCCGAATACTATTATATACTCAGGGGGCCAGATCCTCAGCAGGACTCAGACACACTGCCATTTCATGGATTTGATGGTGTCATACCACACAAAGGTGTAGAGCTTACCATTATCTTGGGTTTATGAGTTAGCAGCAGCAAATGCCTACATCTTAACCTTCCCAGTGTAAGGACACAACAGACTGGGAAGATAGCCAAGGGCCCCATAATTTTGCTGTACAAAGCTCACAGCAGTTCTTAACTTCCCTGAAGAGCAGCAGTTAATTTCACTGAACTGAAGGGAGATTAGGCCATTGACCTTAATGGACAGGACCTCTTCCTAAAAAGTACACTCCAGGCCTACCAGGACAGTCCCTGACAATACCAGAACATATTAGCAGAAAACACACTGCTTTGCCCAACTTGGGAAGTGCCTGATCCCAAGCTGGGTGTGTCATCCCAGCACTTAATCCACTTGTAAGTAAATCATTACAAAGAGTTAGAAAAAAGGAAACACTTACTTGGTCCAAGACCTATGGAAAATGCAGCAACGTAAACAAGCAGGCTGGCCAGAGAGAGCCATTTCAGGACAACGGGAACCTCCCCGCTTTCCATGTGAGACCCTGTTATGCTTTTGCCTCCTGCCAGGGCAGTCCTGTTCAGTCCTCCTGTGCTGGCAATGTCTGGGCTTCTCTGGACATCAAATGACAATCTTTCTAGTGAAGCCATGCTAGCAAAGAGGTCCTTGAGAGTCCCATTGGTGCCACCAGTGAGGTTTCCCGGTCTCTGGAGAAAGAAATCCTCTGGAGATTGGCTTCTACAGACGTTGGTGAAATTCACATGTATGTTACGGTTCACTAAGCCCATAGTGACCAACGATACTGCCATAACAGAAGAGCCAATACAAAGAAAAGTTTTACTTCCAACTTGATCCACAAAAACTGTAGCTGGGACTGTGCTGACCACTTTAACCACTCCAACTCCAGTAGAAGCCAAGCTGGCCGCTTCATTACTCTGGAACCCAACTGACTTCAAAACAGTCGATGCGTAAAACAAAATGTTGGGTTGCCCAGTTGTTTGCACAAAAAAGACTAGAGCGAGTCCTACCAAGATTCGGGCCCTCATGTTGTTTTTTGAACGAAACAAGTCCAAGAAACTATACTGATGTTCATCTTTCAGAGAAGACTTGATTAAAGTAAGTTCTTTAGTAGCATCTGATGTTTCCCGTAGCCTCTCCAGTACTTTTTTTGCAGCTTCTTCGTTATTTTTCATGACAAGAAACCGAGGACTTGGAGGAAGGAAATACATGGCGATAGCCTGCAAAGCACCTAATGGAATCACCAGGCCAAACATGTACTTCCAGCCATGAGATACGCTGGCAAATGCATAATTTGAAATATAGGCAAAGAGAATGCCTATCACAATCATAAGTTCATTTAATGACACGAGGAGGCCTCTTCTGTGCTGTGGGGCGATCTCAGCAATATACACACACGTTGCAATTGATGATAATGATATGGAAATACCTATGGCAATCCGTCCCACAATAAGTATCCCATATGATTCATAGGGCAGTAAAATCAGGCTCCCCAACACAAGTAAAGAAGATGCAACAATAATGGCAAGTCTCCTTCCAAATCGGTCTATCAGGAATCCACCAGTAAGGGATGCAAATAAGGCCCCAAAAAGCAGGGAACTTACAACGATTTCCTGCTCTTTGCAAGAGAGTGTTAATATGCTGCTCATCTGAAGAAGAGCTCCGGAGATAAGGCCCAGCTCATAACCCATCAGAAGTCCACTTACAGCAGCAATGGCAGCAGATAGAAAAGTAAACATTCCACAGCCTGAAATAAGAGAAAAAACACAAAAACTTGAACGTGTGACTTCTGCAACATTCTGGCAACTAATAATAATTTTATTTGATATACCAGTCCAAAAAATCTTTTTGTAGCTTTTAGGCAAAGTAGTCAGGTGCATACAAACCCAGCAGCAGTGCTGACAAAAAAGGTTATTTTTAAAAAGGGAAAAAAATTAATTCATATAAAACCCTCTTTAATTTTAATGCTTTTAGGTTCCTTATCTTTCTGATCAGAAGTCAATAAGGTTTTGATCAGACCCTAAATAATTAAACCTTCTGCCTCAGAATATCATTGCAAAAGGAACAGTGGCAATATAACCTTTTGGTAAGAAAGCAATTTTTACCTTGAGGTGTTCTTAGTGTTTTTCCTGTACTGAACTGAGGAAGTCTTGTCCACCCAACTAGTGTATCATGGGCAAGGAAAGCAGTAATTTCCCAGCCAAATTGCTTCAACCTTGACTTGATTAGTTAAGTTTTCCCTCACCACTTAATAATTCCTTTGCTTCACCTGAGGATGCCATGAAGGCTGCTGATACCAGTGGTTTTATTTTGCCAAATGGAGACATATCCACTGAGCATCAGGCTGATCCAGATAGCTGGGATATTCTAGGGAAACCAATCTTTGAGGTACAAATTCGTGAACTTTCTGGGCTTTGCTCATCAGTAATCTCAGATTCTTCGGAATATCACAATCAAATATTTTGCATATTTTATGGCAGTCACAATGCCAGTAATAAAAAACAGATTATGAAAAGGTAAACCAAATGGAGATTATATGCCTTTGGATGTCCACTTTAAAACAAACTCATCTTATACAACTGCAATTCATTGTTTATTGTTACAAGATAGATTTGACTGATTGTATTCTACTAACTGTGAAGCCTTTTGCACCCTAAACCTGGAGGAATAGATCAGTTTGTTATTGTTGGTCTCATTCTTTCTCCCAGCATGATTTTCCTTTCATCATGATGTTGGCTGCCACACAACTAGGAAAAGAGTAAATTGACTTCTGATTTTCTGGTTAGTTGGAAAGATAGGATGTGACTGAGGAGAGGTAGCTTTTGCAGCATAACAGAGGCCGTATTTCGGTTAATTCTCCTGGAAAAAGTACTTTCCAGCTTGGCTGGAAAGTGGTATATGGTCTAACTGAAAATGATACATAGACTTTGTTTATTTTTAGCTTATTTTTCTAAGGCATTAAGGCTCTTTGGTCATGCTGACTGCCTGGAGTTCCTTGCCAATAACTTTTGAGCACACTGGCGAGGATCAGTCCCATTTGACAGAGGATGTACATTTCTAAAGCAAATCGTGAAAAGAGAGGAGGAGGGCAGCCCTAGCAGTCCGTCTGCACTACTAAAATAAACAGTGCCAGAGCCCAGGCCTGGACCCTGGCACGTGGCCACGTATCCTACCAAATTACTGGCATGGTCCCTGGCATGGTTGGTCCCCAAGCCACCTCGCGCTCTCCTCACAATTTCACTGCGGCCGTTTGGGGCCTGGTGTGAGCCCACCATCATGCCCTGCAAGCCACTCCACAGCAGGTTGGGTTATTTTCATAGAATCATAGAATCATAGAATCATAGAATCGCTTTGGTTGGAAAAGACCTTTAAGATCATCGAGTCCAACCGTTAACCTAACCCTGCCATTCCACCACTAAACCATATCCCGAAGGAATCATAGAATCACTTTGGTTGGAAAAGACCTTTGAGATCATCGAGTCCAACCTTTAACCTAACCCTGCCATCCCACCTCTAAACCATGTCCCTAAGCACCTCATCTATCCTTCTTTTAAATACCTCCAAGGATGGGGACTCTACCACCTCCCTGGGCAGCCCATTCCAGAGCCTGACAACCCTTTCAGTGAAGAAGTTTTTCCTAATATCTAACCTAAACCTGCCCTGGCGCAGCTTCAAACCATTCCCCCTCGTCCTATCATCTGTTACCAGGGAGAAGAGGCCGACCCCCACCTCCCTACAGCCTCCCTTCAGGTAGCTGTAGAGGGCGATCAGGTCTCCCCTCAGCCTCCTCTTCTCCAGACTAAACAACCCCAGTTCCCTCAGCCGTTCCTCGTATGACTTGTGCTCCAGACCCCTCACCAGCTTGGTTGCTCTCCTCTGGACATGTTCCAGCAATGCAACATCCTTCTTGTAGTGAGGGGCCCTACAAGAGGGTAGCAGAGTATAACTGTGTGAACATAAGCTGTGCCTCCAGAGTCAGGGGAGACGTGTAATCCCATTAAGTCTATTAAGATAAGTATCACCTATTAGCTCTCCTACCTGGCTCTAGGTGGTTTGCTCCCTTTGAGCCAAGCAGAAGCCAAGCGGCAGCAGCCCCAAGCTATTGACTTCACGCAGCACGCCTCAGCCCACTCTGCCTCTGGGCTTAGGCATCTGGCAAACCAGAGATAGACAAGAGACGGGTGAAAAACCCAGGGGGTTGTTCTGATGGGCAGTAAGGGCATAGGGAAAACGAGAGTACTGTGAGAAGTCTTTCAGAAGGTGGGGGTTGATGGTAGACTTCTGGTGATGGACGTGGGGCAGCTTCAAGAAAATGTCAGAAACAAATGTGCAAAATGCGCTGGTGGTGGAACAATCTTTTTTTATATTGTTGTTGTCCACATCTGTATTATGTCTAAAGCTTTTTCTCCCTTTATGTCTGCAGTATCTGAGATCATTGCACTTATTTTAAACAGAGGTTAGTGCATGGGTTAGGGCAAGGTCCTGCTGTGCTTCCTTCACCCACTGAACAGCACTTCCATGGAAGCACTACTGACTCCATTTAAGCTGCTTTGTGCTACATGTGCTCCGTCCTCCAATGCACGCATGCAATATATGTTTTGTCACTGTAAAACCCAATTTATCCCTCCCCTTTATACTTCTGACTTGCCTGCTTGCTGTTTATTACTAGATCTGGAAAATATACCCTTCCAATGAATCCTGGCTGGAAATCAGGGCTGGTAACAACACTGAATGAATGAGCTTGGATACCAAAAGTTCCACTGCTTATTTGATCACAGTGCTTTGCCCAAACTATTGCTCAGTGCTGATATTTGTGTTTTCTCAGATATCTCTGGATCGTACACCATTGAGCTATGTAGATTTATCCTAAGATTTTGCTTTAATCTCTATATTATGAAGCCAAAAGACGCCATTGTTGTCACCCAGTCTGACACTCATCAACAGCACAACATAATCCTTCAGACACGTTTAAATGCCATTTGATTTGAACTAAGCCATGTAAAATATTCAGCTTTGATTTAAAAAATGCTAGCGGTTGAAAGACAATGATTATAAGTCATAAGTTGTCCCGATGGTTAATTGCTTTCTCTGTAAATTATTTCTAGACTTAATTTCTGCAACTTCAGCTTCCAGCCATCAGATCCCATTCTCCATTTGCTTGTTCAGTAAGTACAAAATTATAGCCTGTCATTGAGTCATCCCACAGACCCATCCCTGATAAGCCACTTAGCCTGTGAGGCTTTACAACTTTACCAGTCCCTTAAGTATTCAAAGCCCTGTTCTCTGAACTCTCTTCAGATTATCAACTTCTTCGATATATTGTGAGCCAGACCCAGTGCTCCTGCAGTGGTTGCACAGTGCCAGATAGGAACTTGACATAATTGTCCCGCTCCCGGTGAACATTTCCCCCTCTCCTCATCTAAGGATGGTCACAGCTGTGTACAGGAGCTCATCTTCTGCTGGCTATCCTCCAGGACAATCAACTTCTTTTCTGACTGGGTTCTTTCCAAGGCACTGCCTTTCCTTTAAATACGGCCTGCCTTCTTGCATCCTAGCTAGGAATGCAAATCACTTTACATTTGTCTGTATTAAAACACATAGGATGGGTTCAACTTACCTAACTGTGAGAGATCTACAGCATCTCTAGATTTCTTCTGTAACAACTTGTGAAAAATAGGCACTTCTAGATGTCTGAAGTAGGTCAGATGCCTATTTCTCTCCATTGCCTATAAAAGGAATCTGTGTGGCTTGCTCAGATGCAGATGTCTAAAGTTAGCAGAGAGGAACCCCAGACAGCACATTCACTTGCAGTCAGCAGGCCAAGCCATCCAACTTGCATTCAGCCAGCGACATATCCCATTTATTAATCACCCGTCACCTTTATCACCCACAAATATGCTGTTATTATCTTCTTCCAGGCAACTGAGAAAAAATGTTAAATAACAGAAGGACAAAAACTAAGCTTAAGGCTCTGCAGCAGAAACACAGCAGCGTGGGAAGTATCTCCTACTGATACTTTGAGGTCTGTGTCCTGCATGGCTTTTAATTCTTTGAATGTGTGACTGTCAGTTTTGTATGGTTCCAGTTTCTGATTCAAAATGACAGGGCCAAGTCAAATATCTTGACGGAGTCCACCATCTGCACTGCTCTTTACAATCCAGACTGTGGTCTTCTCAGCCTGTGGTCCTCAGATCAGAGCCGCCGAGGTGATTATTTGTTTTTAATCCGAGCAGCTGTACAAGCTGGGTGTGGAGCTTGGACACCTGGGAATTTGCTAGGGAAGCACTCAAGCCCATATATTCCTTGCTTCTCCAAGTACAGCAGCTTGACCAATGTCTTAATGTTTCTTTGGCTTGTTTTTACTGGTCCAGCTGGTATCCTTGCTCCAGTGTCCAGTGGCACATACCCACAGTCATTTAGAAATAGTGGAGGGCTGTAACTAAAGCAGACCCCTCGATGAAAAGCATGTTCTGATGTGATGCAGAGGGAGACGCATCGTCTTGCTGCATTAGCAGCAGCAAACTCAGCCATTAGTTCAATGTCTCTTGTCCCTCACAGACACTGTTCTGCTGAGAAACGTCCTTATATCACTGTGAGGTTTTGCTGTAACTGGTGTACCTAAGACTTGCCTGCTTAGAACTGCCTGCTGAGTCTGCTCAGTTTTCCTTCATGGTCTTCCTCCAGACAAAATTCCCTCTGACTTCAGCATATGTTTTGCTTTAACATTTCCAGATAAAGCATGTTGCAGTAGTTGTACTCACAATCCTTTTAAGTGTCACTTTTAATGATGCTGCTGGCAGTTCTTAGGCGTTCTTTTTTTTTTTAAAAAAAAAAAAGCTTCTTAAAATGTATATTCCTCTTATTTTTATGAGATGCCTACAAAATACATGGCAGTGTGCAGTCCAGGGGAATAAAATAGTTTAACGATCGCTTCCACAGAAATTTCTCCTTCTGCCTGCACCAAACACCATGGCTAGCGAGTGTGTGGCTGGTATGTGATCAGTGACTGCGACGTCTATTGTCTAGTTTCCCCATGTAAACAAAATGGTTTCTCACTATTGTTACTCAGGTCAAAAGCAGCGCTACTTGACAAACAAACTTATATTAAGAACATTTGCTGGAAATGTTTATGCTTGGTTCCTGAAAAGGAGACCAAGCGCAGTTGTAGCACAGCGCAGCGTACCGCTGATGAGACTGGATGGGGCCAAGTAGTATGGGTGTGACGCTTTACTTATTTTCAAGCACATATTTGGGAAAATACAGCCCTTCCAAAGGCAAAATATTTGGTCTGTGCATGTATTTTATGGGCATTCGGGATAAATTATCCGTGTCAGGGAAGATCTGCAAGCAGGCTGAGCTGGGAAATACCACTCTCCCCCTGCTTCATGTGCAGAAGAGCTATGGGAAAGGAACCTGGGAGCCCTTTCCACCTCACTTTGGCAGTACCACACTCCACATTAGGTCAGATACTGAGATTTTTGTGACGTAGTTTTTCTTTCCTTTCTCTCAAGAGAACTTGCAGTGTGCGTAGAGAAAACCAGTGGGGTGGAGCGTGGTCACTTCTTTATGTGACCAGTACAAATACATCAGTTTTGATAGGAGGGGACTCAACAGTTTCTTCCAACATCGTGCTTTTGTCTGTTGACTTTGATGTAATCTGAGGTGAGAAATTTCGCAATTTGGGAGGGAAGGGAAATATTTTACTGGAAGGTCAAATATGTTCTTTAAATCCTTGGGGATTCTTTGATCTATTTAGACATTTGGAAGGCAAAATCAAGATCTGTCAACCCTTGGTTAATAAGCACAGGTTAGAAAATCATGATGACTTGAGTGCATTGCATAGATATGAATCCACAGCATGGAAACTCCCTTTTTCAATAGAACAAGGTGCCTACTTTCATCCATGATAAATCTTAAAACTACAGCACCTGTATCTGAAAACTTTAAGCTATCTTTAACAACATATTTCTTCTCCATCTGAGTGCTGTCTGATATACAAAAAGTTTGGCTTTACAGGGAAATAGTGTTTAAAATTCCTCAAGTTGCCTTTAGAGGAGGATTTTGCTAAAGTGTATAGCGTGTGGATCACATGGCTTTGTAGGATAAATATTTAATGGCATGCATTGGGAATTGCTGCATAATTAAATCATAGTTTTGCTTCCCGTAAAAGGTGATTACCCCATTTTTATGGCATCATGATCTTTGCTGCACTGCCACAGTTAGCTTATCTGTCTCACCCAGTTGTCTGGTGTAAAGAGATATATGTTACCCTGTTGATCTATTCTAATGCCTGAGGTTTCTTTAGATCCAGTAGCTGCTCAATCTGTGCATTTCTCCTATTAGCTAGGGCACATCTGATCTAACTGTCTGTCTAGAAGTCTGGCATGGGATCTAAACCAGTTACCCAACAAGACCCTACGGGATGAAACAAATGGTGGCTTTGGGACAAAGTTATGTTGTAAGCAGAGCTGGAAAATCTCAGAAAATATTAAATTTAAGCAAAACCAGTGTCAGGGCCATGTGGGATCATGACTCCTCCCACCCAAGTGTGAAAGGCAAACCCAAACCAAATATTTTGTAAATGGAACTGAAAAAGAAGGCAGAAGGAAGCTATTTCACACGTTTTCATAGAATCATAGAATAGAATCATGGAATCGTTTAGGTTGGAAAAGACCTTTAAGATCATCAAGTCCAACCATTACCCTAACACTGCCATCCCACCACTAAACTGTGTCCCTAAGCATTTTCACACATTTAAATTCCTGCGATGTTGGGAAGCGTTGTATACTTTGTACAGCGTAAGCCTGATGAATGTATTGTGTGAGTGATATCCGAATTTCATGAACAAAAGCCCCCTGGCACTGACGGAAAGACAGGGAACGCAGATCCCGGACAGACCCACCCCAGCCATCTCTCCATCTCAGTCCTCTGCCATGTGTTTTCTTTATGTCAGCAGGCAGCCTGGCCCTTCATTACATCAAATGAGATTTGGGGTTTGTTTTGTAATTTTCCAGTAAGAATCAACCAGTTCTTTTAATTCCTAGCTAGGTAACTATAAATTCCTCAGGTTACTGCTTTAATTTCTGAGGGTAAGGCCAAGTATGTAACTTGCATGTACTCCCCTAACCACAGCCCTTGTGCTGCAGTGACTTTACTGTCTGTTTACGGTAACTGCTGTGCTTCCCTTTGATAATACTGTTCTATAACCATCTGCATTCACCCCCCCATACCCTAAGGTAATGTTAAGTGTGTCTGCACACTGACTGGCTTTCTGTTCTTCATTAACCTCTGCTTCCTCTGCTTCCAGGTATCAGTAGATGTTACCAGACTGATCGCTATTACACTCCAGCAAAGCATTTGTGCCTGCGGTATCTGAACATACAGGGGTTAGTTGGTTCATTCATTTTTAAGTGAACAAGACCTGCTCAGATCATAGTCGCTCCTGGCTTACAGTCGCGCTTTCCTGTTTGGATAAAGCTGTCTTGTGGGTGAGGAATGTCACAATTGCAGGTCATTTTCCCCTCGATCTCATCATCAGTGAAAGAGACTCAAGATGCAAAACCGTGCTGTAACTTAGAAAAACTGGCTGGGTAGGACAGCAAAGGTGAGGAGCTACAATATTCAGCTTCAACACTGAAATGTCTTGGCATAAGAAATGATACAGTTGATTTTTCAGGGTGTCAGCACAGAAACTCTGTTTCTTCATGAAATGCTGGGGGAGAAAAGACAGGAGGGAGTCCCCGTCCCCCCTCCCTGTGCTTTCCCCCTGCATGAGCAGGTGCAATGCTCCCCTGGCCTCCCTCCACTTCAGTGAAAAGGGCTGAATTGCTCCCCAGCATGCAAGGACCGGAGCATTGTTGTTATCTTAGACGGCAGCGGGTTCTCCGATTTTTCAGGTGACTGCTCTTCATAAAGGAAAGGGATTTACACAACAGACAGCACATGCACGAACAGTAGGACCGAGGCCTTTTGGGGAAAGTATCGCATAACCCTTCATTCAGCATCCAAGCCGGCATTTCCCTTCCTTCCTCGCATTTTCCCCTCTCGCACTTTTAGAAATCGAGAGAGCATGCCCTGAGAGCCCCTCGGCTTTTCGGGGCTGTGTTCCCCCAGCCCCCGGGGTGAGCTGTGCGGGCACGCTGCCGCTGCTGCCTGCAGCTGGCATTCCGCTCCCGCCGCCGGCTCCAGCCGGGAGCGGGCGGGGCTGGCGGCGGCTGCCCCGGCTGCTCTCCTCATCCTCCCCTGCTCTCATCGCCTGGCTCTGCTGGCCGAGGTCCTCCGTGCTCTGCCCAGGTGCCATTGCCACCCTCCTTGCACCTTGGGTCAGGAGCACTTCACAGGGCAGCGGTCCTTCCCTGGCCGCCCGGGAAAGCGCAGGTTATTTTCCTCATGGCAAGAAGTTGCTGAAGCCGGCTGAAAGCAAAGGCAAACCACAAAGTGGTTCGTGAACAACTTTGTTGCTATTTCAGAAGGCTTTGCCCTTTGCGGTGACACAGGCTGTTGCTATTCTTGGGAGCCTATTGCAGGCGAGGGGAGGGCCGTCTGTCGGAAGTATTGCTTTTGCCTTTAAACAAATAGTTGGGAGACATCAGACGTCCACGCACGGCTCAATGCACGTTCCTTACCCGTGAGCTTAAAGGGTCTCTCTCTCTCTCTCTTTCCTTCCTCTCCCTCGCGTTCGTACGCACAAGTTTTTGACAGAGAAGGTGCACAGGATGGGAGGCTTTGAAGTGTTTGCTGTGTCAGCTGAAGTTAGGGAACCGAGCGTGCACACACAAGCAGCATCCCTTCGTTCTTGTAACTTGCCAGCAAGTTGTGGTGAGAAATAGCAGAGAGGAGAAAAAAAAAAAGCCATGGCAGCCCTTTGCAATCTACAACAGTAGGAGTTGGGATATTTCATGGCATAGATGCACGTGCTGTTTTACCAGCTAATGAAAGGGAAGCCACCCTCCTCCCATGACATTTATCTGAGGGAAAACTGAGACTGTCTCAGTTATATTGAGTGAAAGGCTTGACTTTGAGAGCTACTAGGAATCACTCCATCCCTGTCAGCTTCAGTGGAAGCAGTGGCCAGAGGCTGGACTGCAGCAGCAGGGGAGGCTACAGCGGGTGCGGGCGAGCT